TATTCATTAACTTTTATCTGCATCTCTTTTATTTTAGTTATTAGGCAATTAAAATGACTTTTAGATAACAATACCACACTATCTTGAACCTCAACATTTATATTTGACCAATTATCTAGATTTATCATATTATCATCAATTGAACTTTTTAATAATTTGGATAATTTGAATTCAGTATTAATGTTATCATCTTCAATAGCAATAAGATTATCTTCAATAATATCATCATTGGCAATAAGACTATCTTCAATAATATCATCATTAGCAATAAGATTATCTTCAATAATATCATCATTAGTAATAAGATTATCTTCAATAAGATTATCATTTTCAAAATCTCTTGATTTTCTTTTTTGATTTAATGGATTTCTTTTTGACTGTACAATTAACAAGTAATGTTGAGGGCAAAGCTGATCATTAATTTGAAGGTAATTATAATCATTATATGTACTATCTCGTATAGCATTACTTAAACCATGTTCAGTAAATCTTCTAAACAAAACATCTTTTGCTTCACAATTTAAAACATTGCATGGTCCTAAATTTTTAGGCATTGATTTTATTAAGGATTTGGATTGTGGAAAAGCAGGGGTAGTTAAATGACAGCTATTTTACTAGCTAATAGTTTTTGTTGTATTATTTAATTTATAAGATATATTTTTATTGCAGGTCAAAGCCTTGAGTTATTTTCTTTATTCAAAATAACTTACAAGTAAAGCAAATTTTAGTTGTTTATATACATGTTGGTTAATTATAAAGTGATTGAATTGGTCTTGAAGGACTCAAACATTTTGAGGATGTCTTGAAAGATTAAATTGATTCAATCATCTGCACGTAATTTAATTTGAAACTATATAAAAAATTATTACATTTAAAAGTTTGTTATACTAAAATTACTAATCGCGTTTTATATGTTTTTACATGTATATATATATATATATATATATATATATATATATATATGTGAAGTAAATTTTAAAATTTGTTGTAATGCGAATTTAATTATAATTCGTTAAATGGAAATAAAAAAATAAATAAAAATGAGCATGTGTAACATTTTAGAAATGTGATTAAAAATTTTCAAAAACCAATCAAAAAATTAGTTTTGTGTGATGATTTGAAATAAGATCGACAAAATTTGGCCAATAAAATGGCTTGTTTTACAGTGTCCATTATGCTTATTACTTTATTAATAGCAATAAAAAATTATAATTCATATGGAATTTCCGTATCTATAGATCAAATACATTAACATGTAATTTCAGTTGATTTGATACGTTTTTTCTCATGATATGGAAAATTGCGAATTTCCATATATTTTACAATTTTTTCCAGAATAATTTCGTATCTTTTATAATAATCATTTTTCATAGCAATAAAAATTGTAATTCATACGGAATTTCCATATATAAATTTCTATAGATCAAATATACGTAATTTCAGTTAATTTGATACGTTTTTTAAATAAAACCTCATGTACGGAAAATTGCGAATTTCCGTATATTTTACAATTTTCCCGGAATAATTCCGTATCTTTTACAATAATCATTTCATAGCAATAAAAATTATAATTCATACGGAATTTCCGTATGCAAATTTTTTATAGGGCTCAAAACGTGCATATACTCTCCTATGGAAGTAAATGCAATGGGAAGACAGCACTTCGGACCTCAACTTCCTTACAGATCTGCAGTTTGTAAAGTGATACTTCTATTAGTGTGATTCGGTCTTCTACAAGGACAACAAAAATTGTTATCATATTAATGTCAGTATATATTACAAGTAAACAATTTCCATACCAATAATTTGTATACTATATGTTTTTAGTTTCTTCACGGTCTCAATACTAGCGCCAAGGTACTTTCAGAGACTCATAAGGAGAATATCCACACCAGTGTTAGATATTTTGCCCGAATCATTAAGAGTATGCTTCCGGTCCTGTTGAAGGGGACCTCCTGATGCTTCCATGTTCATTACGTCTAAATTATATGTAAGATCTGTAGCCAGTGCATCAGCCTTCTTGGATGTCAGTTCACCAGTCGGATCATCTATAAATTCCATTGCCTTTGTTGACATAATTGTTTTTTCTATCCAATATGTTGTAACATTTCCAAACACATATTCAACAAGTTTGAATGGTGTTACCACCCTTTCAACAAAGAATTTTCTCTCAGAATTGTGCCTTGGGAGAGTGTGTTTTGGATTATATTTGATCATTGTATGGAATTTCTTCAATGTTGTTTCAAATATATCATGCAATTTCTTTTCTCGGTCTGTAATATGTTCACCTTGCAATAGTTGTATAAGACATTCACCTAACTTTTCTGGAGTGGATGATAATAAAACTTCTTGTAACCACTTTGTAAGAGTTGGTCCCAAACTAGTTAACTTTGTCTGTTCTTGTGCATGAATTTCTATTTCTTTTGCTATATCGGGGAATCTTGTATTAACACTACTTTTAAGGGATTTAAACCTGGGAATAACTTTCAATGACAACAGATTAAACTTATGTTGTAAAAGAATTGGTTTATGAGGGGCCAGGAGTAATCCTGACTCTCAACTTTTTGCTTGATTATTAGATTCTTTATTGTTTCCTGTCCAAAATTTTATTTGCTCCGTTTCTTCCTTGTCCTTATTAGTATTATTGTATTCTTCATTTTCTTCTATACTATTACTTCGAGCTTCACATTCATTATTCATTGTTGCCCCTATAGGAGTGGGTGTGCTTGGATATTCATTATCACTTATATTTGCTTCAAGTTCCCTTCTCTTTATTTCTAGTTGGATCACATTATCAATTTCTTCATAGCATCTTTTCCCACAAACCTTGAGAACATCCTGAAAAGAAATGTTCCTAAATTTAATGCACTGTAAATCGAAAAAAAACATGCAAGCACATAGTACTTACACTTTCAAATGGAGCATTAGCTCTGATAGTATTTAACTGTTCCGTATACTTCTTTTCTGCAGATACTAATTTCCAGAAATTTTTAACTTCGTCACTTTCCTGTATCTTTTGTGTCAGCTGTTTCATAATGGTAATGGAGACATTTTCTGGCGGATTTGACTCCAAGATCAGTTGCAAATCTTTTTTATATGTATGATGTGCAGATGTCTTTGAAATACCAGCCAAAATTTCACCTTTCTTATATTCAAGAAACTTGATAAGGCACCAATTGTACCATGTATTTATAAGAAAAAATTGTCAACCTTATTGAAAAGAAGTTCTTGGGGAACCCAGTTCATATTGGAGTCCATTTTATTTAGTTTATTTTAGTAGATCTTATTTAGACATGTCTCTCATGTACCACAGAAGTGTGACTTGGATTATATTTAACACAAAAAAAAGATTTAACATTTGCTGTGTCACAATCTCCTTCCAAAACTCGCAAGTTGTGCGACTTCTGTGCAGTTTTCTCACCGATTGTCTCCTTTTGCGTCTGGTCTTTTCGGTTTTTGGCATGATCAACGTTTTCACCATATTTAGCAAAAATTGTGTCATACGGCAAATGTTTTGTTTTATAAAACAGGTTGCAATTGCAATTGCATTTAAAATTGAGTTGTGTTGAATTGAATTGCAAAGCAATGCATTGCAATTGCAATTGAAACTGAAAAATCTTTGTTTTTTAAACCTAATTTTTTGGGAAGGAATTTTTTGCTTTCATGGTAATTTCAGAAAAAAATTTTTTTTTTATTTTTTCTGAAAAAAAATTTGATCTATGTAATTTTTATTGCGAAAAAAAAATAATACAAATTATTCAGTGTCACAACTCCCATTACTGTTGTCGTTTACCACCATTTCATTCTCATTATTATCATCATCATTTTCAATGTTGTACAAATTTTCTACTGCATCTGTATAACCTTTATTGTTGCTGATAACTTCGTTCATTGTATGTGTCAATTTCGTTGCCCTTGATGTGCTTGATTCTTCCTGTAGGGCATGGTCTGCACTTCTTCTTTTTTTACCCAACTCCCTGATGTGATCTGTGGTCTTTCTCTTGCACATCATTATATAAAGATAATTAATAATATGAATGGTTATATATCTAATCCCACTTAATCCAAAGTTGTTATCAATTGAAAAAAAAATTATGCCTCTTTTTCCTAATCTACATTTATCATCACAAGAATAAAGCATTTCAACATATTTATAACAACCATATCTATATATATCCATGTCAAAATAAATGATCTTACAAGTATAGAATCTAATCCTTGTGAAATGAATATATCTTGCATCTGCATCACATCTTGAATGGTTTCTTGTTGTGTGATATGTACCATAAATAAATATAATAATTATATGTAAAAGTGAATAAAATTAAATCTATACCTTTACCTTAATTAATAAAAATATTTCTTTCTCTACACATAATATCAATACAACTAACAATATTATTTGCTTGAATAAATTAATGTTATTAACTAACGAAGTAACAAACCAAAAAAACTGTAATTCATTCACTTAATTTTATCCTAATGATGAATATTACCATTAAATGTAATATTTGAAATCAATTATATTTCTTGAAGGATAATTCAATCTTTTTTCCTAATATAAAAGAAATTAAATTAATTAATTATTATTAAATAATGAATTGATTTACACATTCCATATATATATATATAACCTGTTTCTTCTAATATTATATAACCATACAATTGAGATGAAATAACTTGGATTGATACTTGCTTGATTCCTAAATTATGCAAAAAGAAAACATTATTGATCAAATTTTTATTATTCATCAACATTTTTAAAAAATGTTATTGATGATATCAAATATCACTTACATTATTGTCATCATCCTCCTTTTTTGTAATCGGCATATTAATATTGATATTATTACAATGATCCTGAAAATAAGATCCAATTGTTGAAAGGGAGTTGATGAGCATTGCAATAATGTTTAATCTTCAAGTTGTATTTCAGTATAGCACTCAACACATATAATTCATTAAATATCATGAATGTATGTATATTCCTGACTGATTCTCCACTCAAATAATAATAATAATAAAGCTAAATTACAACAAGTATTTACTTATTTAAAAAGCAATAATAAAACCTCTTTATCCCAGTCTTCTGAACTTAACCAAATAATTGCTGAAACAAAGAAAGAACAATTACTATCAATCAACCCAATCAATTACTTACCTTACATTTTGGGAGGAGCAATAATAGATAGTATTGATGATAGGAATTTTTGCCTATCTGTTAGGAAAAAAGAAAAAAAATTAAGGAATTAATTAACCTAAATTAAGTAGTAAATTATTTTTCTTCTAATTTTCTTTTCTTTCTAGATTATTTACATGCCCAACTACTTTGCTTCCTGAGGCTTGCCTCCAAGTTTGATCACTTTTAGTTTCACATGGGCTCAACTTGTATTCTTGAATAAACATAGCAAATAGGCAAGGTAAAGTGTTAACAGGTAGTATTGATGTTTTATTCACTAAATATTAAAAAAAAATTTCTTTTTAAAAAAACCCTCTTCTGACATGTAAAATTCTTTGATTTTTACATCAGGAAAATGGGTACAAATATTATGCGTATATAATACGCGATTTGTACGCTTAATCCCTGCAATTGCGTATTATATATGCATAATATTTGTACCCATTTTCCTGATGCTTAGTAAAAACATACTTTGAACAGCTTAAAAGATTTATAACAGATTGATTATTAACAGATTATTAACAGATTATAAAAGAGCAAGTTGAATAGTATATATTTCAATTATTATTAATAGGGATTTTTAATAAATTTTTATTTATCAATATGTAGTGGAAGTATCATGTTAATTCATTTGCTACATATATGAATTGATCGACGAACTATTTCCACATTTGGTAAAATCCCTGACTGAAATATGGCAAATTAAGTTGTTTTTAGATTGATTTAAATGTGTGACAAAAAAATTTTTGAAATCAGTCAACGTGAAATAACATTCAACTGTTATCTACTTTAACATGTCTCGTAATTGGAGTTCCTATTTTGATGAAGCACGACCTGAAGATCATCATTTTCTGGATTTTTACAAGTATTGTTCACAACAAGCTGATTTTACCTTTTCGTTTTGAAAAGAGTCTGATAAGCTGAAAAAAGATCTTGAAAATCTGATAATAAATGGTTCAAATAAACAGAAGAAAGGTGCCAAGCAGTTGAATGAAAATTTTAAGGCAAATTTTTAATCTTTGTTTTCTGTTTTCTGTTTTCTGCATGGCTAGTTAGCAGGGGAAGTTTCCACAACTACGGTGGACACCTGCTTGCTGTCCACCTTATGGTCTGCTTGCCCATTGTGGAAGAAAGAATCCCACACAACTATGGTGAACACCTGCTTGCTGTTCACTTTACGGTCTGTTTGCCCGTTGTGTCTGCTTCTAGCAATGCCTCTAATAATGCTTTATCACATGTTATGTTAACTCCATGTAAACTGTAGGGACACCAGGAATGTTTTAAAGATGTTGATATACTTTGGGAAAAAATTGAGATGCATGAAGAATTGCGTCTTCTTGGGGTTTTCACTTAACCAATTTTTCTGATCTATCTAATAAAACTCAAGCTCTTTATTGACTGTGTATTTTATAACTGTAGGAAAATGCATTTAGATCCATAATGAACAATACAACAAAAGTTCTTGGAACCGCTATCGAAAACATCCATTATACTATCAAGAACATCAATGGTGCATTGGTATGAAAAATTAGGAAATTAGTGAAAGATAACTGAAATGGCAGTTGTTTACCTTATTATGTATTATTTGTAGACGAACCCAAGAAAACGGACTCCATTGACACATGACATAACAACCAAATTTACTCCAGAAAGCATCAAAAAAGTTAGCATATAAACTACAATTATGTTAAACTTGCAAAAATTTTTTCATTTTTCCTATCTTACACAGGTCAAAACAACACAGACTAATGGACAACTTGAAGCATCAAATGAATCGTCATCAAAGCCCCACAAAATACTTTCAACAGGGTCATTTGTTGAATTGAGGCAAAAAAGTGGATATTATTTGGATAAGACTCACTTCATTTCTAAAATAGAAAATCTTAATGCCCATGCCATACTTTCTCTGCATCCCCGTCACTTCGGTAAAACATTATTTCTTTCCACTCTGTGTTCTTATTACGATATAAAGAACTGAGGATATCAATTCAAACAATTATTTGGTGATCTGTTCATTGGTAAAAATCCAACTCCATTAGCAACCTCATTCCTAGTTCTGGAGCTCAATTTTTCTGGAATTCGCACTGATGCAACATATGACATCTTTGAGGATAGTTTTCACAAACGTTTGAATCTATTTATGTCAAGATTTATGTATTGATATCAACAGGAGTTGGGTCATCATTTTCAAATTGTTGATGAAAATTCAGATGCTTTGACAAACTTATTAAGGTTGCTGAATGCAATAGAATTATGTGGTTACAAGGTATTTTTCCCTTTGTTCAGTCATATATTTGTTCAAAAAGTATTAAATAATTATCCTTATACATCTTTAGCTATATATTTGCATTGATGAATATGACGCTAGCATTAATGAAATTCTTAGAGACGAAACTATCATTCAAGAACTCTCCAATAATCACAAAAAGGAAAGCAAACCAAATTAATTGAGAGTTCATTCAAGCAATTCTACAGTTGTTTGAAGACTGTTTGTGATAGAGGCATAGTTTATGTGTTCCAAACTGGTGTAACCCCTGTTGCTATGTCCGAATTTACCTCAGGGTTCAATATTTCAACAGATTTAGCACTAAACGAAGAATTTTGGGACTTACATGGATTCAAGCAATCAGAAGTTGAACTTCTTTTGGACAATGCTCTTGGAAGTAATCTGCCATCTGATATTAAGAAGGGGATAGTAAAATGGTTAAAAGAGGAAAATGATGGATATTTTTTTAATCCTAACCAAGCTGAGGGTATATTTAACACTGCTCATATTCTGTACTGTATTCATATGTTGATTGGGCAAATAAAATTTATAAGATACGGTGAAGATTCTTCAAGCATTATCAAAAAATTTCTTCATTTCCCCCCTGATCCGAACACATTGCCTTCCCAAACAATATTGGAATTAATTGTCAACAATCCCCTTGGAAAATCTATCCTTACTGAAGCACTCAATCAAAGTCCTCTTGAATCAAGAAACGGTATAGAACAACGATTTTGTCTCACTAGCATTTGTGAGCTGGCAACTGACCGCAACCCTTATTATCGTTCATGTTTTATACCGGTGCCCTCACATATCAACCGAATTCATTACGACACATATTTCGAATCCCAAATTGTGTTTCCGAGAGAGAGTTTATTGTGGAGGTGCTAAAAATCTACAACTGGAAAGAAGAGGATTTAATACCTGTACGAAGTTGCTTACAGATTTTGGAGGCAGAATGTGACATTGAACTGCTCTGCCGATTTGTAGAGGAAACTCTACTTAAGCCATTAAAAGACAATAGCGTTAAACATTCAAATGAAGAGGCCTTGAAGCAATCGTTTATGGACACTTTAATTCTCACTCTTCACGCAGATATTGAGCCAGAATTTCGGGTAAATTCTCAGAGCTATAATTTAGGTAATAAGGCAATTGATTTAGTGAAAACAAGTACTGGAGGAAGGATAGCAATCGAATTCAATAATATTAGGATGGAATACATCAACCTAAACGGAGCTCAAAGTACATGGCAGGAAGCAACACAAGTATCACGATCATTGATGACGAAAACAGAGGATGAAATTCTAAGCCTTAAAATTAGTGATCCATTCCAACCAAACCAAAATTCAGTTCATCAAGCTTTAGAATGGAAGATTAATAAGAAAAGCTATGAGTATTTAGAGCTGTTAAAAAAATGACATGATGCAGAGTTGAGGAGTATGTTTATTGTTTTGAGGGTAGGCCTACATCGCCTGATTAGCAGGAGAGTGTATTGCATTAATGAATAGCCTGTAGGATTAATCATTGAAATAAAATTTTTCTCAATAAGGGCTTTGGTTTTTATGTATCTGGTATGATGTGAAATGTGCATGAGGAAAAATAAAGGTGTATATGCTATTATATTTAGATACAATGTATCCTCAATCACGGTCAAATAAAATTAGATTTCTGTTTATTGTACATATAAATTTCATAATAAAGAAAGCCCTGGTGGCTAATTTCACATACATGTCATGTTTAACCATGTTTACTTTTGCATGTGTATTTTGTGAATTTATTTTACTGTATTGACATTGATGTCTGTTAACTTGCATATGATTGAGAATTTTTAAAAATTGGAACAGACATATAATATTTTATTTTGAATATATCTGAAAACAATGGAAGGTTGAAAACTACAATTGCTTTATTAAGAGAATTAAATTCTAAACTTACAGTTGAGATTACTGAACTTAGAAAAAAGTATGCTAAGGGAGGCTAAGAATATAAAGTTAAAGCAAATTATAGAAGAGAATACTGAATTTAAGACTAGATTCAAAGAACAAGATGGGAAACATAAAACAGATATTGCAAACCTTATAAATGAGAATACCGAACTCAAATCTGGGGTTTCAAAATTGGAACAAAAGTTATCACAAAATGAAGAAGAAAAAGGCGATCTTATTTCTTACAAAACAAATTCTGATGATACTCCTGAACAGATAGAAAATATATCCGACAATATTTATAGTTCTGATGATATTCAATATTTTGATGTACGGTGTCTAAGTCTTGATTGAAAATGAGAAAGTAGTTTAACAAATATTCTATATAAATTGAAATTCATTCCAACTATCAAAGAAAATTTCCTTTTAAAGATTTTTGCTTTTTATTAGGTAATAACACACTTTCATTCTGCTTTCTTTTCCTGATGTTTATTATTTTTCTTTCTTTTTGGTAAATTTCATAGGTAATCCTTTCTTTTCTTAGATAGGCTTCAATTGTCAGAGTATTATTTATTTTGAAAATATATGGAGCAATTTTTTCACCTTGATCTTTCTTTAAAATATTTCTAATGATGCTATAATTCTTGAGTTCCATAGTATATAGACCTGATGTAAATGAGTTTCATATTAACTATTTTTATTAGGGATAATTCTATATATCACTTAAAATAACAAATGGGATATTATAAAATTGTTAATTACATTACAAATGACTAAAATTTTGATCCCTGAAATTCTTGGTAATACCAATGTTCACTTTGTCTGGTTTTGTTGCAGCATGCCCCATGTAATTCTATTCATGGTAAGGCAAATAAGCATAAAAAGATAAAAGTTCTGTTGACTCATCATAGATTAGCAAAATGGTTTCATGTGGTTTTACTCCTCGGGTTTAAAGTACAAAACATGATTAAAAACGACAGCGGTTTAAAAAAATTGAATATGACATGGTCACATTACCAATTTAAACAGCATTTACTCCATAAAGCCTGTGAGTATCCTTAGTGCAAGGTGGTCATCTGCACTGTGAATGTTGTGGGTTATCAACTTGGGTGGTCAATGGACTTTAAATGTACATCTTCTTTTAAAACAGAGATGTAGACGGAGCTCGTATATTAATTATACTTCCAAAGTATATTGTTATTCTATTTATTTGGTAAATGGAAAAATAAAAAGTACAATGTCGAATTGAAAATAACCTTTATCCTACAAGTTATATGTGCTCAATAAACATGAAGTAGAGGTGCAGCGAGCCATGTTAAAAAGCTACTGATATATCACATTTTGAAAGAAATGCTTAATGCTAATTTTTTTAATTTTATGTACACGAGCCTTTTGATCCAAACATGTAACGAAGATACTCTATATATGAAAAAATTTCATATATACCCACGTAATATAAAAAATCAGTTCACCATGCAGGATGCGAAAATTCCGATAATAATAATAAATTTCCCAAACGGGGCCGATCACACATTTCTCACCCTGCTTATTTAAAATTTTAAAATTAAATTAAAATTAGCCAATCAAAAAAGGGGTTCTGCACTCAATGTTACCACATTTAGTTAATATTAGATGATTTGATTCCCAAACGCACGCTACAGCAACGTTTTTTGTATATAATTAAATCACCACCAATTGAAGACGCACTTACTTATATATAAAAAATAAAATTCCATTCACCACGTGGAAAACATTGTTTTCACCACATTTGTCAATTGAACTTTCAATTCGAAATACCGAAACACACAGAATATAATAATAATGATCATAAAACAAATTCTAGTCTATAAACATGAGCACAATATCAACATTCCAATTTGTGGGTTCCAATTATCGGAAAAATAGTCACTAATGTTCATATTAATATTAATATATATAATTATGCTACAGAATCACATTTTTTTTTGAATTCGCTTTATCGTTCGTTCAATGACTAAAAAAGCCGATTGATTATTTAAAAAAAGAGGTTAGTAAATTTTATCAAAAATCTAGAATGTAAATATTGCAAGAAACTAGGATCATCCAGCAGCTATTGTTAGAATACCTAAATTAGCCTAGTAATAGTAATCGGCGATTAATCATAATAGAATTAATAAGTCTTCTTGATACATATAAATGTTTATCGATATTCACCAAAGGAATCAAGATGATACACAATGAATCTTGGGTTTAACGGATAGCTTGGGCAATTATTATTATCCAAAAATCCATTATATCAAGAAATCCGTTATATCGAAAACTTATTATTTTTAATTAAATCGTTCACGCTAAATTCACTGTGTAGTATTTCAAGTATTCTAAGGAATAATTGGCTAACATTAAATGATCAATACATGAAGAAATTAGAAAGTGTTAATTGTATAATCACGAATAATAGTCCCTCATTTAAAGTGATCGGTCGCGTCATAATCTTGTGTTGGGTTAAAGAAAAAAGAAAGATTTAAAAAAGTCAAATTGTAAATTTCAGATTTACTAATAAAGATAGGCTTTTGATTTTAATTTCGATAGATAATATTGATGATTTAATGATTTGATTTTTTTCTCTGATATAAATAATCTGCGTGCGCGTGGGACTTTAGTTTTTGATCATTAAAATATTAGTTGTAGATTTGAAGTATTTTTTAATTGTTTGTATTTATTAATATTAATATTATTGTTATATATAGTATATAAATAAATAAATAATTCTATAAAAATGTCTCTTTCTCCCAAAACTATTTTTAATTAATATGTAACAATGACTACTTTATTTTCTTTAGTAAATAAATATATCATATTTGTTTCATTATTAATTATATATAAAGAAGTAAAAAAAAAAAATAGAAATATTGGATATAAATTAAAAAAATTGGCTGATAAGAAAGAGAGGAAAATATATATAATCATAAAATGACCATCTATTTATGACCGACCATATTCAAATCATTCATTCGTACTTGAGTTTGTTTGAAGGAGGATAAAGATAAATAGATAGATGGATAGATTATGAAGCTGTAGAAGATGAATTAGCATTTGTACTTGTAGTGGTAGTGTTGTTATTATTAGATGATGCTGATATCGGAGCTTTCGTAGTGGTAGTACTAGTAGTGCCAGTAGCACTAGTATTTGATGATGATGGTGACGGTGATGATGATGATGATGTAGTAGTGGTGGCTAATGTTAATTGATTGTTATTGATAGGAGTAGTTCCTAGATCACTATTATCATTGTTGCCGTTTGTATTATCGCCAATAAAAGATTCTTCTTCCATTGGTTCTTCTTCTGCAAGCAAATTATCCCACTCTATTAAATTTCAAAAAGATAAATAAAATAAGTAAAATTTTGTTCAACAATTATATATAAATATTATCGCCTGGAAAGATTATATAAAAAAAAGCAATTTACCCCTGTTATTATTATTATTATTATTAATATTAATATTGTTATTACTGCCACTAGCACTACCACCACTATTATTATTTGAAGGTGATAATTCTTCATCTTTGTTTTTTTCTTCTTGAAGCTTTATTTCAGCTTCTTCTTCTTCAGCCAACACTTGCTCCCAATCCACACTATTGTCTATAGGTGCCTCAAGGTCGGCAAAACTTCGACATAAAGGACACAAGAATCCTGAATGATGAGAAAATAGAATTGGCCGTATACATTTGTAATGAAAAACGTGCGAACATGGCGCAAGAAATAACGCTTGACAAGGTCCAATTCCACTTAAACAAATACAACAATCAGTGGTTGGTGGGTTTTTTATCCCTTCGGAATTACTCATTTGAGTAATTTGTTTAAATTGTTTCAAAGTATTTAAACTAACAAAAAATAAAAAACCCCAATTAATTGATGGGTTAATAATTGTATTCTTGAAATAAATAACTAAAGTACCTAAATTGATTAATTGGTCTTTGCCATGACCGATTTAATTCTATTCTCATCTTTACGCAACGATAAATTTCTATATATATATATATATAAAAACATGTAAAACGTTTAAAACCATTTTATTAAATTACAAAAAAAAAATAAAAAATAAAATAAATATTTTGTTAATTAATAAATAATACCTTCGGTTCCGCCTTGGTAGTCAACTCCAAGTTGTACAACATCCCCATCTTTTAATAGGAACGGTCTACTTTCTGAATTTGGTGTTGACAATCTTACATGATTAAGAAAAGTTCCTGAAGAGGATCTGGTATCTTTTATGTAAAACTTTTTTTTTTTATAAATTATACATGCACTATTAATTATCGAGAAGACTGAAAATAAAATAATAATTGTTGTTGTTGCTGTAGTTATAATACCTTTCCTTCGCTATGCCAAATTTCAGCGTGACCTCTTGATACCACCTTGCTTTTAAAGGTTACTCTATTTGGAACTTGTGCTTTGTCAGTAAAACGTCCTATTTTAATTGCAACCCCTTCAGGGACTTCTCTTTCGATAATTTCAAAATGCAAAGAACGAGAGCCTTCAATATGTGGAACTATACGAAGTGCGGGAACCTCAGGTTTTTGATCTTGATTCAATGCTTGTAGTTCTGGTGACATCTGTTTGTTTTTTTTTCCTTTTCACAAGGTATTGTTTAAAACTATACAAAATTCCATATTTGTAACCATCAGATGTATTATCTTTTTTTATTATATATTTAAAGCATAAAAAAAAAAATATTAAACCAAACAAACCAAAAAAATTTATTTTCAAAAATTGCAAGTGATATATATATAAAATAAATAATATTCAAAATTGATTTCTACTTCTAAAGTATTGTTAATTGTATATATATATATATATATATATATATTTGTTCAATGAAAGACAATTTATTCAAATTGTATAACTTGGTTTCTATTTATGTATATGATTACATCATTTTTTTTTTACAGCATCCCCAAAACAATTGGATGAAAAAATCCCTTATATGAATCAGGTGATCGCAAATCCTGCCATCAATTTCAAAATATCAAGTGTGGTATATATAAATATTTTTTGATTTTTTAAAGAATTTTAGATTATCATTATTACATTATTATAAGATAAAATAATATCAAAAAAAAAAATTTTTTTTAATAATATCTTTATACGAATATTATTATTATTAGTAATAATATCATCAATAATAATAATAATGGCGCCTCCACCACCACTTCCATCTATTTACAAGCGACAAATTCCACCACAACATAAACATTGGAAAGAGTTTACTAGGCCTGCAACAACAACAGATTTTGGCAAAGTAAAGGAGGCATACGCTGCCGGTGACTACACTACTGTTATCGAGTTACTTGACTCAAAAATGTTTCATAACATTGGTCAAAGAAGTAAGGGTATTGCTACTACTCCTAACGCCATGTTTCAAAAAGAATACGCTCTATTGGTTCGTGCAATGTGTTCACAACAACTTAGAGATTTTGATCGTGTTTTGTTGGATACGACCGAGATCTTGAAAATTCTTAATAGTAAAAATAAAAATATTAATACTGGTATTAATATTAATAATATTAATAATATTGGTAATAATGCTACTATTAACAACTTTACTACTACCAATACCACCAACACCATTAATAATGGTTTTTTGAAAAAAGATAAGAAAGATCAAAAACTATGCAACATATTGGCACTTTGGCTGAAAAGTTTAGCATTAGAATCTTTGGAGAGATGGGAGCTTGCTAATAGGGACTTGACTACGTTGAAATCAATGATCATTAATACGCTTAGCAATAATCTGAAATTTAACAAGGACAGCTTATTATCGATTCTTTTGCCTTATATGGCACCTTTGGTATTACAATACAATAATAACGCATGGATCGTTAATTTAAGATGTGTCAACGATAAACTACGCTTCATCATGAATATGTTGACGGTAAAACAAAAGTCCTTGTCAAATGGTGGTGATGGTCAATTGTCGTCGTCAATGATCAATCCTCCTCGTTTGATAGACGACGATGGAAAATCATCATGTGATCTGGCAAAAAAGTTTCATTATCGTTTATTGTTGCGAAGACCACTCCACCCAAATATTCATCTTGACATGTGGTACACCATGGATTTGATGTTTGTTAGTGAAATGGGATTGTTTAAAAGAGAGGACATGTATGGTGCTGAAGGTTACGCTCTTGCGTGTAAAATTTTAGAAATTGGTGAGGTTAATATTGATAATAACAAATATTCGGTTGAGGTGAGACCAATGAGTTCGGAATCGTGTGAGTGGAGCGGTTTAACGGCTACTGATTGGGCCGGTGTTCAAAAAAGTGGCAAAGGTGGCTTGGAATTTAAAATTACATGTTCAAAAAAGTCAAATGATAATAATAATAATAATAACGGTAACATTCACAAAACTAATGATGATAAACAACAACAACAACAACAACAACATAAACCTATCAATGGTTATAGCAATAATTACCATAATTATAAAGGTAATTATGGTAATGGTAATGTCAACAGTAAAAGGAAAGTTTTAAATCAACCAGAAAAATATTTGTATGTTTATCCAATTATGGAAATGGCGGATAAATCTATTACTATTAATTTGAGCAACGGTGGTCAAGATAACCACAACAACTACAGTAATTTTAACAATTTCAATAATTTAAATGATTTTAATAGCAACAATGCCAACAGCAACAATACCAACGGCAACAATACCAACGGCAACAATGCAAATACCAACAGTAACTCCAATATTAATTGGAACGAGAGTGGAAATATTAATTGGAACGAGAGTGGAAACATTAATTGGAATGATGATAATAATGGGAATGTGAATGTCAAAAAATTTAATTTAGTTCCTGTAGCATTTGGACCAATTTTTATTTCAGATTGTAAATCTCATCCCTCTACCTGTGCACATCATCAAGCTGATAACAGTGATTTGAATGTTGATTTTAACGATCTTGAAAATAACAATGATGACGACGACTGCGACTATGATGACGACTCATTTAATTATTCATCATCATTATCATCATCATTATCCTCATTATCATCTACTTCTTCTTCACCTTCATTTGAAGAAAAAGAACCAGTAGAAATTAAGTCAAGACAAAAGAGAACAGAATCATCAACATCTTCTTCGGCATCATCATCATCATCATCATCATCATCTTCTTCTTCATCTTCTTCTTCTTCTTCTTCTTCTTCTTCTTCTTCTTCTTCTTCTTCTTCAAGAAAAAAAATTCCTTGGAGTAATGACGAATATTTGATTGAAAATTATCGGATATTTGATCTCCCTAATGGAAAAAATTTGTTAATAAAAGAACTATGGGATGTAGGAATTCCTGGAAAAGTTTGGGATTCGGCATTTGTAATGGTTCAGTTGTTTAGAGAAAAGTTAGCAAACAATAAAAGATTGTTTGATAATAAAAAGATTTTAGATTTATCATCAGGAAATGGTTTCGTAGGAACACATTTAGCAGCTTTAATTACTGATCTAAAAGTTTCAAATGATTATAAGAAAAATGATGTTGCTGATAATGGTATTGATTACAGACACCACGACTATGTCCATCATCATCATAAATATAATAATAGACAGAGAGAATTCATCAATAATTATAACAATAATAGCAACGAAACAAAAATAGTCATGACAGATTTAAAACATGCTCTACCACTTATTAAAAAAAACATTTCCTTGAATAGATATTTATTAGGTTTGACTGATAAGATTTCTATCAATGTTGAATATTTAAAATGGGGTGATCTAAATAAAGCAAAAAAATTAGGTACTCTGGATTATGTGTTGGCTTCTGATGTTGTGTATGAACCTGGTAAAGTAATATTATTATTATTATTATTATTATCATCATCATCATCATCATCATCATCATTTAAACCATTATTATTATTATTATTAACGAATTTTTGATATAGAGCTATTTGATTCTTTGATTCAAACTTTAAATACTCTCTGTACTCCAAATCTTACCAAAATTTATTTGGGATATAAAAGACGCGGACTAACTAAAAACGAAGAAAAGGATTTCTTTAATCAATTGCAAAAAAATTTCAATATGAAATTATTGACTAAAGTAGGTGATAATATAGATGGAGAAGTGTGTGATGGCGGAAGTGTCGGGGGACAAATAAATGATGTTGGAATAGTGAATCTTTATGAGTTATGGAAATGATCTAGGTACATTGATATATAAAATTATATAAACTATTTTTAATTGGTGAGTTATATGTATAATTTATATTTTTGAATAATAGTAATTATACATAATATTTATCAGACGTTTGCAAAGAATCTTTTTTTTTCTTTGCTTTTTTTTTTAAAAACAAAATATATTATACATTCGAGAAATGAATAAATAAAATTTTTCTATTTTATTTGTGTACATATTAATAATTTCCACTTTTATATTTAACACACATGTAATAATAATAATAATAGTTAAAAAAAAATAACATGAAATTTTTTTTCTATTACTATCATTATCTTTAAACCTCTGAATAGACATTCTGTATATTGCTCCATTTCCGTATCATTAGCAAGTCCAATTAGAAATATTAAAGTTATTCTCTTCTAGTTATTATACATACATACCAACCAACCATTACAAATGTCTTGGTAAGTTCAAATTTATATATGTATATTTACCAGATGTATCTGATAATGGTGGTCGATGATCAAGAAAATAAAATTATTTTCCCTTCCCGATCGTATAATGTGTTCTCCTTTCCAACCGATGCCAGTGTTTGCCATGTCGGACTAACGTGACAATAATAATTAATTTATCAGTGTATGAAAAGGGTACAGTCTACTCTCTCTATAACGACCACTAAGTAAAATTTCTCTATAACGAACTTCCCTTTTGTCCCCGTTTCAATTTTTTATAATTAATTTCTCTCTCTATAACGATCATCTTAATAAATTCTCTCTATAATAATAACGACCAAAAGCAGAGAAATTACATATAGGGACAGAGAGTTCGTTATAGAGAGAGTGAACTGTAGTTTTTATTATTGATCGGCATATTTCACACCCCAGTAACCGAGGTGGGTTATAATAATCTGTAGCACAACGTCCAAAAAAAACATGCATATCGATTACATGAAATTATTATTAACTCTCATCCAATAAATAGATACAATGATAGTAAATGAGAAAACAGGATCTTTTTCAAATTTCACAGAACAGCAACTGGAACAGCAGGAACAAGATGCAGATGATAAATTAGAAGAAGGTGGTGGTAAAGTAAGGGAAGGGGATAAAAAGAAAAAACCTTGGAATGAAGAAGAAATGTTGATACTTTTGAATTACATAAAAATCTATTATGAAATGTTTAAAGTAAATAGATCATTATTTTGTCGAAAAATACATAAAGAGAAGGTTATCAAGGCAAGAAGTATTGCTGCAATTCAAAGAAAAATTCAAATTGTGCTCAAAAAATATGATGACAAGGAATATAATTGGAAATGGTATAAATATGCAGAAGAAATTTTTGGTGATAATAATCATAATCATAATAATGATAACAATAATGATAATGATAGTGATGATGATGATAAACTTGTGTCAAGTAAAGATCAAAAAACGATTGGTAATGATGAGGTAGAGATGGTAGGAGTGCAGGTTGTTTTAGATGTTGATAATCAAAAAAGTGTTCAAGAACCTGAAGAAAGAGATAAAATTAGCATCCAAAATATCAAGAATAATAATAAACGACAATATTTTGATAGCAATAATGATCCTGCTTTAATCAGTAACAAGTCTAAGAGTAAAAAAAACAATTTACCAGCAAAAATAATTGCAAAGGCAATCAGAGAATTAGCAATAAGTAAAGAAAGGATTTGGAGAGAGAAGTTAAGATTGGAAAGTGAGAGAAGTGATAAAATTTATGAGATACAAAAAAGAAAAAATGAAGTAGTGAAACTTAAATTGGATTTTGAAATAGAACAATTTCAACTGGCAAATAATATTAAATTTAAAGAATTGGAGTTACAACAAATGCATTTACAACAAAAACATCATCGTTAAATTTTATAATTTTCAATATATAAATTGTATTGATTTAAAAAGTCAAGAAATAAAATTAAACATGTACATCAATTTAATACTATTTTAAAACTAAATGTTCCAAAGTTCCAGATAATCCACTTGAGCAACTTTATGCATTCTCTATTCTAAGGATGGTGATTGGTGTATTTTTATATTTTTTAGAAATAATTGGATTTCCTTTAACTAAAAGGAATCTTGATGCAAATTGTGTGTGTGTGTGTATAATACATTAATATGTCTACTGTATACTTATCCTAGGCAATTATAAGCAGTTCAGTGATTATTGATGAAATAATAAATTTGACTTGATTAAATAACCTAATCAAATATATTTACATGATGCCAAAAACTTTTATGTCTTTAATATGCTCAACTTTCTAGGTCCTTGGTGATTTTTGGTTAGCTGATTGTGCATCAATCAAATATTATAATTTTGTAGTATATTGTTTTTCTTAATACAACATCTGAAATCACAAATTTCCTTCTAGATAAACAGCCCAGTTTACCAATTCCATCATTCTTTGTACTGACTGACAAAAGATGGATCTAAAAATATGAAAATGGTGATTACTCTTACAGCTTGCTTGATTGAATATTCTTCTTCACAAAATAAACTATTAAAAAGTGTCACATATACTTTCATGTATTTTTCTTGCAAATAATTTTTATTTAAAATAAAAAAACTAGAAATAAATTTATATCACCATACTTGCAAAATTGTATATTCAAAATGTAGCATTGAATGAAAGCTTAATTAAAACTTACCCTTTCACTCTAAAGTGCTTAAATTTTTAATTGATTATTTTATTTATTTATAATAAAACTTTTGAAACAAAAAAATCAAAAAAATCAGCATCTACAGTGGTTTTTAAATATAAAGCTATATTTTAATAAAGGTTCAAATTCACAAGTACTTTCTTTATGTATGCATACCTAGAAATTCAATTTCTTTATTGAAATTAGTTATCCGTGATGATTTGGAGCTGGTCTTTGACAATAATACTGGATATCATCAAATTCTACTTTAAAAGCCAAATCATTCTAAATATAACAATTGTTACAGATCAAAGTGCATCTCATTTCTTATGTGGTGATGAGCTATATGTTCAGTGGAAGGATTTTCTGGCAATTCATTTTCCTGTGGGTTGGAAATTGGATTAATATCAAAAAATTTTAGGTTCATTAAAAACAAAACAGTCAGTCTTACACATCTAAAGAGAATATAGTTTAGGTTTGTTTCAATATTTAAAGGCTCACTTTTAATCAATAGAGCCCACCTGTCATATATCTTTTTTTGCTCTTTGTTGTTTAGCCATTAGTTTAACTTTTGGGATGATACTGTTGCAATAGTAAAGGTAGTTGTGCTAATGATAATCTTGATAAAGAACCAATTCAATAAATATTAAAATTTTATGGCCATGTCATGCACATATTTTAGAGTTTAACAACGAAAATTTTGAAATTACATAATGATTGAACTAGTGATATTATACGGGGGCAAAGTTTGTTGTAAGAATTTGAATTTTGAATTTTATTATAACAAGAAAATTGATGTCATTCTTGTTTGTGATAATTGTAATTTTTCTATTACTATGGTATTCTTGAATATCCATAATCACATTACCCGTCAGACGAAACCCAAGCCAAGAAATCGCGGACAGTGGTAGCACTTGAAAATTTGGAATCTTGATAATACAAATAAATGTTCACTTTGTCTGGTTTTGTAATATACTGGTTACACTATTCGGAATTCTAATCGATCGTCTAAAATAGTTGACCCTCGTCTCTGCATGATGACATTTCGCTTGACTAAACTAATTTAATTAAGACCATGTGTAAAAAAAATTTAATTTAAATATTAACCGGCAATAATAATAATTTCCTTCATCTTTTCATCTTTTTATATATTTATAAAGAAAATATACATGTGTAAAATAGATTGTTGATTGATCGAGACCCATTGTTTTTTTTTAAGCTTTAATAAAAAAATATTTTTTTACTACTATTTTAAGAAGTCACTTTCAAAACTTTAATATACCTTTAAAACAATGCAAAAGCTGGCTTTACGCATATTAAGTCGATTTTCTCGTAAATCATTCATTCGTAGCGCTTGGAAAAATTTAAATAGTTTGAGCGAACACGATGAGTTAGCAGAAGCTTTAGAAACTTTAATATCAATGTCTCACGAAGGTAACGATTTATTTATTATCTTAATTATTATATATGATAACTCTAGTTTAATTAAACTAATTCAATGCAACTATTGTTAGAAAATGAATTTATAGAATTAATTACAGTAATTGTGGATGTTCTTTCAGAGGCACCAATGGCATCAGCTTTTTTATGTCATATAATTGGTATTATACTTGTTATTGTTATTATTACATTATTATTATTATTATAGATATTAATTATTATTTATTTATTTATTAATAATAGATAGTGCAGCCCTACCCTCAAAAGAAACATCTCATAAAATAACATCAAGGTTACTCCAAAAACTTAAACCAGGTACTTATACACTTATAAATATAATATAATATATACATTATTAATTCATGCAATTCACTTGTGATATATTTTCATATATTCATCTATCTATTTAAATATATATGTATGTAAAGGGGGCATATACAGAACAAAACCAAAGAGAAGAACACGTGTTAATGCATCAACAATTTGGAGTGTTCTTGCTGAGAAGTTGGCAGGTAAATTTGACAACATCAGTCTATGTCACTCCATATTATATTATATATTAATAATAATATTTCTTTAAAAAAATAAGGCGAGATTAGTTTATCATTATTTTCGGATAATGTATGTAACACATTATTGGATTATCTCCAATATGATAATGATTCCAGTGTACAATTATTTGCCCTGATTGCCTTGGAGAAATTTGGAATGACGGGACAGAATAAGGAAAAAATCTTTACTTCTGGCAAGGATATTCATAAAATTTTACAGACTATATCAAAGGAATTACAGTCCGATAATGGATTGTCTGCAGATAAGAATCGTCGAATGCAATTAAAATTTTGTGTAGAATGGGCTTTAAAAAATACATTTGGTACATTTTTGTTTGGTTTTTCTTTAAATTTTTTTAATAATTAATGTATTTTCTAA